ATTGTGCCGTTCGTCATATAGCCTACCGCATATTACGCACAACAGAAAAATTATATTTAAGATGTCTTGGTCTAGCCTATACTCCAGAATTAAACAAATTCTAGTAGTCTCTTTTGATTGTGGACTGTATTATTATGCATACTGGATGGGCTGATTGCCTTATGCTACACTCCAAACGTCCTATTCATGAATCTGGGAGAGAATGTATAGGCCTTGGCAACGCTATTTGTTCATTGATTGTTCAGGGCGGCTTACAGAGTTATATATAGGCATATGCATAAGCTCTAATAGGATGGGTGTTTTAAAATGAATCATCACCTTGGAAAGCGCTGTCCATTTTGTTGTTAGGCTTTGAAACAACATCCACAACGACCATGTTTTCCTCTCAATTTCAACCTGTTATTGATTCAAATTGATCGATCAGTAAGGTGCGTTTTGAAAGGACTGTATTCAAACTGCTCTAGCCTTTGAATGAGGACTCAACTCTTTTGCCAGTTCACTTAACCTATTTTGTGGTCAGAATCCTCTTTGCATTGACATTGCTATGTTTAGAAAGGAACCAAGATCTTTTTCCAACATTCACACAATGCACTCTGGGTTTTTACCATGTGCAGGACAAGCCATTCCATCAGAATGTATTATCAGACAGCTATACTGAACCAAAACTTAAACTTTTCTGAGTTAGTTCATATAAGGAAATCAGTAAATTGAAATAAATTCATTAGGCCCTAATCTATGGATTTCACATGACTGGGCAGGGGCGCAGCCAAGTGTGGGCCTAGGAGGGCATAGGCCCACCTACTTGGGAGGCAGGCCCACCCACTGTGGAGCCAGGCCTAGCCAATCAGAATGAGTTTTTCCCCACGAAAGGGCATTATTACAGACAGAAATACTCCTCAGTTTCATCAGCTGTCTGGGTGGCTGGTCTCTCCGACGATCCCGCATGTGAAAAAGCCAGATGATGAGGCCCTGGGCTGGCGTGGTTACACATGGTCTGCGGTTGTGAGGCAGGTTGGACTTACTGCCAAAATTCTCTAAATGATGTTGGTGGTGGCTTATGCTAGAGAAATGAACATTTTATTCTCTGGCAACAGCTCTGGTGGACATACCTGCAGTCAGCATGCCAATTGCACACTCCCTCAAAACTTGAGACGTCCGTGGCATTGTGTTGTGTGACAAAACTGCACATTTTAGTTGCTTTTTATTGTCCCCAGCACAAGGTGCACCTGTGTAATGATCATGCTGTTTAATCAGCTTCTTGATATGCCACACCTGTCGGGTGGATGGAAATCTTGACAAAGGAGAAATGCTCACTAACAGGGATGTAAACAGATTTGTGCACAAAATTAGAGAGAGATAAGCTTTTTGTGTGTATGGAACATTTCTGTGATCTTTATTTCAGCTCATGAAACATGGGACCAACACTTTATACGTTGCGTTTTATATTTTTGTTCAGTATAGATATATACCGACTTACATTTTGGAAGCTAATAGATTACAATTATTGTCTCATCTTTTAACTAAATGCAATCTGAAGATACTATTAACATGTAAATATGATTGGTAGCAGAATAATAACTGCAGATTAAATAATGCTGTAATTTAAAATTGTACACCTAATGTAAGCTACTGCCCCTTAAGAGCAATTATTTATTATGTAGCCTACCCTGTGTTGTGATTTTTTAAACCAAATATGTTGTCTTCTCACACTATTCAACTCTGACCACCTCTCGAGATGGTCTTTTCGGTTCGCTTCGGGAGCTCTTTTGAGGGGTCTGAGTTCCTTTGGAGTGTTCATACTGGACAAAAAATTAAGCAAACCACACTTAGTTTACCAAAATTGGCTGAAATTTTACTGCGGTCGAGACTCATGACGGTAATACGGTCACCTTAACCACTCTAGTCCCACCTAGCTATCTTTAAAGGGATAATCCACCCCCAGAATAAAAAAATCATGAAACGCCTGTCAATTAGCTGAAAGCCTATGTTTTATCAGTGGGTAAAAAAGAAAAATCCCCATGATTTAAGTGTGCAGTCTGTGAAATGAGGAAATTGTGTAGGAACGCGTCATATCTACATGGTTCTCGTCACTGGAGATGGGGGATAACACACGATCACATTTCATAACACTTTTAAAACAATTACCTACACTCTAGATTGCCAAATCAGCCAATGGATGGTATGTGCAACACATCCATCCGTTTTATATCGTCATGACAAAGTATATATTTCACTTGGATGTGTTCAATGAAAATAGTGGACCAAATTATTCAACTCTGTTTCTCCTTCAAGATATCATCTCGGAATGCGCCCTGTGTGTCTGTGGGAAACGTGGGAAGGGGCCGTTGTTGCCATAGCAACATACTCTGCACTCGCTCTGGGCTGAGAGGAACTGCAAGCTGAACCGATTTTACAGCTAGCTACTTAATATACTGATATTGACTTTGGTATTATTGTGTGTAGCTACGTTTACTAGCTAGCTATTTAGCCAGCGAGCCCGGGGAGAGAACATTGCATTGTGGGTTTTGTAGTCGACTTGAGCTGCAACTGATTTCACAACGATTTTCATGTTTCTACCAACCTTGTTATAATGACAAAAATATAGCTATTTCACTCTGTTAAGCGTAGGTATTTGTGTTTTGGGGTGGATTATCCCTCTTAAGATGAATGTATTAACTGTTAGTCGTTCTGGAAAAGAGCATCTGCTAAATGACTTAAATGTAAATCAACAAGGGCTTTCAAAAAATTCTAGCTAGCAACAACATTAGCACAGCTTGCTAGTTGGCTTACATTAGCTACAGCAGGCACAAGCCAAACAAGCTACTGCGACCTTGTGGCCTGGAGTATTAAACAAAGTAACACTCCTCTACCGTAAAAAACATCAATTAATTAATAGCCTGGGTGTTTATTTGTATAAATCACTGAACAAAATGGGCGCTAATTAGAGACAGGCTTCTATTTCCTTAATGCACACACCTTTTGCGTAGTTAATTGTTTAATTCCAGCATTCACTTCCAGCATAAAAAAATTAAATAAAAAAATCCTGCGCTAATGGTTATCATTTACAGTGTAATTTCTTTTGTCTAAATATGCCTCTATATATTTATTTATTTTTATGAACAGTTTTCTTTCTTTTCCCACTTGAGGGCGATATGACTGTTTCTTGGGGTCTGTACTCCAGAAGTTGACTGTTTTTGTGCTTGCCAGTTACAGCTGTTAGCAGCCAATGACTAGCACCAGAACATGTTGTTTTTAAATGCATTGGGGCCTATAGATTGGCATGCTTCTCTCTATATTCAGCTATTAATAGGCTACATTTTGGTTATTAAAAAGCTGTGTAATATAATTTTGCAATGCGAGTCATTATTATTAAACATTGTATTAAATGCATTCATTTGTTTCTAAAGTATGTCGTTTTGAGAATATTTTTTCACATCTTAAAATAGGACGCTGCCCCTTTAAGACCAACATTCCAAAAGATATTACATTGACATTTACATTTTAGATATATCAACTGTCTACAGTAGGCTAGCCAAGACAAATGCTAGGTGTCTTTTTGTAACTTTCTTTTTGCAGACTATCAACAGTAGCCAGCATATTGCTAGTACTGTATGTTCTCTATTGAAGGTTGTATATTACTTTCCCAAAGGTAAATGAGCGAATGGATTATTGAGTGTTTATTTTGCTCAGGACAGCTTGCGTGTGCTGTGTGAAGGCCATTGGCATCGGCTAATAAAATCAAAAATAATCTAATGTGCTGCTTGACTAGTTGTGACTTGCGGGAACAAGTGATGCTTCAATGAATGGTCAATCGTATTGCTCAAATACAAATGGTATGACTTTACCGCGTGTAGTCTTCAATGGTACGCTGCGACAGAGCGGGTAAATGCTGAGCTGGAACACGAAAATGCGCAGAAAAGTTCCTGGGCCAGTGACTGACGAGTTCCATTGGCCATCGTTAATGTCAGACCCTGTTATAGCTTCAAAACATGTTTAAACTAGTTTTTATATCATGGATGGTCAGTCCTTGCATCCATAGCTCTGTCTATGAATTTGAGTGGTTACATTTCTCCAGCCCCATCCCTCAGCTTTTTACTGGAACAGAGGTGGGGACGACGCTTTGTTATTGTTTCAACTGCTGATTGCCCCTTTAAGAACTGTAAAAAAATGACATACTTATGGCTTTTCTTTTAGCCAAGCACAGTTTTATCAATTTATGAACCAGCACTTTATGCTAAATACATATCCATCTGTAGGCTATACATTTGTATTTGACAAGCTTCCCTTTTGCAAAGGTTTTGTCTTTGTTGTATTTATATATAATAATCCACTTGGATGCTTTAACAGTTTGGGAAAATAGGACCTGTGACTATACAATTAAATCTGTTAATATTCATGAAAGCACTTACCACCCATTTTAACTGCAATTTTTTGGTATTTATAAACTATTTTGTGTGATGTTGAGGCTGAATGTCTAGTTTATAAGGTGAAGTGTTTGTCCTCTCAATAGGTAAGAATGTCATCTCCTCAATGGAAATTGTCCATAGCAGAGAACTAAATAGCCCAAGGTGACAGGATTAGCATTGGAATAGACATTGTATCCACTGAGAGAGTTTCCAGACAGTCATATGTCTTCATTCCTTACGTATTTCTCTTGCGGCTTTCTTAAGGACAATCTGACCTGACCCTTGTCAGGTTATCTTTTATTGAGGGCAACCACCTCAACACACCTATTTGATGTCTCATTTTATTCATAATGTTCAGCTATCTCTGTACAGAGAGCCTCTTATTTCTTGCCAAAGTGTTTGACAGAGATCGACATCTCCTTTTGTTTTCCCCTTGAGAGCACACTGTTTTCTTGAATAGCAAAGAAACCATGTGTAGGAACTAGAAGGTGATGCTCATGGAAGGTAATCCCCTGGGGAGCTCATAACTCAAGCCTTGGTGTGACTTTCTGGTTCAAATTGTTTTCCTTTTGCTGACTGCATTTTCCGAAAGGCCTACAAGTAACTGACATGCTCTTCGGGTTTGCAATCCTCATTTTCGGTAAGGAGCAGAGTGTCCAGGAGAACGCTGCTAGATGACTGCATTGGTGCTTGCCGACGGCTCAGTTGACTCTGATAGCTCACCGGCCCGATGCCGTTCTTCATTCCCCGCTTCATGAACAGCTTAGAGTTCTCCGCCACAGATGAACGGAAGGAGATCCGTGTCAGATTCCTACAGAAATGCTGTTCTCTTGTATGGCTGGCTGGCCCATTACTGATGCTGCTGTAGTTACAGGTGATGTAGCGTGTGAAGGCCTGGCGGAAGGTCTTGTTAAAGAGGGTGTAGACCAGCGGGTTGATACCTGATGACACATAGCCCACCCACACAAAGATCTCCATCAGACTGCCGATCACATGGACGTCGCAGCTGGCACAAAGCACAGAGGTGATGTTAGTGATGAAGAATGGGCACCACATGACCACAAACAGCAGGAAGACGATGCCCAGCACCTTGGAGGCACGCTGCTCATTGGTCAGGTTTTGCATGGACTTCTTGCCCAGGGTGGACATGCGACGGATGGGGATCTCGTCACTTGTGATGGGGTTGGTGGGAGAGGTGGGGTTTCCCGGCAGTTTCTCAGTTGTGGGAGAGGCCATGGACTGCTCCCTCTGGAAGACTGTGGAGACGGTTGGGCGAGTGAAACGCTGGGTGACCTTTGACCTGAGCAGAAAAGCTTTCTTGCGCAACACCTGAATGGTGAGCAGGTAGATGACCATCATGATGGTTAAAGGGATGAAAAAAGCTGTCATGGAGCCAAACATGATGAACTCTCGGAAGCTGTCTGGTTTCAATAGGCAGGTGTGGTTGCTGTTAAAGGTAACATTGTTTGGAAGATGGTAGTTTCTCAGCCCCTTGATGGGAATGGGGATTGCGATACCTGTGTAAGAGAGAGACAAGTTTGGTCAGTCAAATCATCAATGCAAACTTTGCATCCTACTCTTGGTTGTGTGAGATTCAATGTGATTTGGAAGTAGATACAGTATCTTCTCACAGCTTAGTTTTCCACAGTGGTCACTTTATGCTGCTTTTGTTTTTGCATTTTATTATTGGACATTAAATCTTCATAACTGCTTTTCCTTTTGATGTTGCCAGAGTATAAAACTGTAGAAAGCCTCATGCTTTCACAACTGAGGACAGCAGAGGGAGCGCAAAGGGTTAGGAAGAAACTGCATTCTGTGAGTCCTGGAAGTTCTCATTCTTTGCTTAACAATCAAATATACTAGCCATATATCGCCAGCTATAATACAGTGACAGTGAACACACACCCTGGACGAAGACACTCTTCATCAGTTGATGTCTAAGTGCTGCCCCTGTAACTCAAAGCAATCTGGTTTTGCTCAGTGAAAGAAAGTCAATGTGTAGAACCTAGCCCCGAGTGAAAACTGGGGACGTGCTGTTGTGAAGGGGTCCGAACGCTCCATTACTACCATTAATGCCAGGCTGAACTCCGCCAAGTCCTCACACCACAATCTCCCAAATGCCTCAGTCAGAGGAACTGTCTGGTCTGACTATGTTAACGAGCATAGGGGTGTTTAATTTCATTTCCTACTGGAAAGCTAATATATAACGGATAACAGATCATTAAAAGCAAACCAGTATGCTTATTTACTGAGGGTTCACTGGCCAGTCATCAGCAATACAGACTCGGGCAGTGGACTCTAAAGTAATATCATCAATCAGGAAAATAAAACTATGTTTGTCTCAACTCTCAAACTATCTCATTGGACAGTGGCAAATGACACATTTGGGTCTAGGTTTACATTGGGCCAAAAATGGGAAACCAGTTTGAGTCTGAAATTCCCTCGAATGAAAGATGCCCTGTGAGAAGAGGATTCCAGTGTTTCAGCTCCATCTCCACCTCGTTTATGGTCTAATAATAGGCTAAGCAAATGAATGCAATGATCAGGGGCTATCAGGTAGGGGCTATCAATGAGAAGGCTAAGCTATTCTACACACAACAGACCGAAGACAAAACACATACTCCCATCTTTCATAGCAATGTAATCTGAGATTAATAGCAAAGAGAAAGAGCAGGCGAGGGAGAGAGGGGCAGGCAGACAGACAGTCGGAACCGTGCGTATAGGCTATAACTTGGTAATCTTTATCTCGCATTGTCTTGTCTTGCAGTGCCTCAAATATTCACAAAGTATATTAAAATAAATATTAGGCTATCAACGAGTAGGCGTATTGCTAAACTATTCTACATTGTGCCAGTGAATTGAAGTTGAACATCGCTAAAGTGCTAACAGTCAGTATCTGGATAATATGTGTGAAATGCTTGATAATGTATGTGATATCAACAGAGAGGTTTTTAGATATTGACTGGCTTTCATCAAGTTGCCCACTCAAGAAAAAACTGCAAACTTTAACCAGTGCCTGCAACCTGGTTCAGGTTATCAGTCAACCTACCAGGTAGTTACAAACAGCAAAGGATTGAAATCATCAATATGTGTTGATCACATCTTTACTAATGCTGCAGAAATTTGCTTTAAAGTGGTATCCAAATCCATAGGCTGTAGTGATGACAATATAGTAGCCATATCTAGGAAAACCAAAGTTCCAAAGGCTGGGCCTAATATAGTATATAAGAGGTCATACAATAAGTTTTGTAGTGATTCTTATGTTGATGATGTAAATAATATTTGCTGGTTTGTGGTGTGTAAGGAGGAGCAACCAGACGCTGCACTTGACACATTTATGAAATTGCTTATTCCAGTTACTAATAAGCATGCACCCATTAAGAAAATGACTGTTAAAAACTGTTAAATCTCCATGGATTGATGAGGAGTTGAAAAATGGTATGGTTGAGAGGGATGAGGCAAAAGGAATGGCAAATAAGTCTGGCAGCACAACCGATTTGGTACTGCAAATTGAGAAATCTTGTGACTAAACTAAATACAAATAAGAAACTATAGCCTACTATGAAACAAAAATACATTATATAAAGAATGATAGTAAAAATCTTAAATGACATTTTGGGCTAAAAGGCAAACTTAGCTCCATTCATTGAATCAGATGGCAAAATCACAAAATCTGATCACAAAACCCACTGATATTGCCAACTACTTTAGTGATTTTTTCATTGGCAAGATTAGTAAATTTAGGCATGAAATGCCAGCAACAAACGCTGACACTACATCCAAGTATATCTGACCAAATTATGAAAGACAAGCATCGTACTTTTGAATTCCGTAAAAGTGAGTGTGGAAGAGTTGAAAAAAATGGTTGTCTATCAACAATTACAAGCCACCGGGGTTTGATATCCTGGATGAAAAAATTACTGAGGATAATAGCGGACGATATTGGTGCCTTGGCAACAGCTAATGGGGATCCCTAATAAATACAAATACATCAGTTTAATTACACCTAAATGTGCAATAAAAAGTATTATGCCTATAGCTTATTTAATTAAACTCTGGCTGTTGATGTCCTAGCTATAAATTGCAAAGCAGGGCATCCCCGAATCCGCACTGAGCTAAAAAAAAATTTAAATGGCAAGTTCACTTTCTCATCCATAAACGCATCTCAAGTGCAAATACTGTCCAGCAGCTCAAATCACCAGGATGGGGGGCATTTTTATTAGGAGGGACATCTATCATGGATCGCTTAAATAATGATTTATGATCACACTTCCTCAATTTAAATATTATGGGGTCACTTATACATTTGGCAGCCAAGCACGAGTTATGTGTAGCCTATTATCGTCAAGACAATATATTTACGCCGAGAATAAAAACCTCCACTCCAGGCTTCTGTCATAAAAAAAACAAATCCTGTGTGAATTGTCCTCTGGAATAATGCACATGCTTGGATAATAATTTGCCTACATAACCAACGTCTCTAGTAATACTAGTCCTGTCTGGATAGGGCTATATAACACAGCAAAGAATAAGCTTATCGGCATGCACCACATCATCCCATGGGCTCGGTCAAGGCTGCGCACAGCAGAAATATCACTGACACATCACCTTCTAGTTCCTACACATCACCTTCTATATTCAAACAAAAGTATTTTTATAAGATAAGTGGGCAGCATCATGCTCATGCCAGTCCTCTCTAGAAAACGAAATTAGACTTCCTAGTAGGACTCTCCAATAATGAGGTGGTGTGTGTGTGTGTGCAGCCGTTTCAGCGTGTTTTGGGAGTCGAGCAAGAGTCTACTCCTTCGACTCCCACCACAGCAGTCGGAGACAACTCCAAAAATCCTGGAGTTGTTCACCCCTAGCTGAAACAAGCAAAGGAGTCTTCAGAGTCGAGCTAATTCCCCCCACAATGCAGCAGCAGCACACATAGAAATGTAATGAATAGAACGGTCTTGGAATCATAGAATTAGGAATTTTCGAAACAATGTTTTGGGTCGTTGCTAGCTAGTTAGTTCAAATAATGACAATGGCTTAACTTTAGCTAAGTTTTCTTCATTATTACAGGAACATAAACCCACAACAACATTATTATTTGCAAGGTAATGGCGAGCTTACAGAAAAGTACCTACTGCCACAGTGTGACGAAATAAAATTGGGTCATTCAGTGCTACAAGGAAACTGACAGTCGCAGCAACGGTCTACAGACATTCCACCGGATATAAATTAAATGTTGTTTTGACCAGCAACACTTGTTGCATTCTAATTGTCTACAGACATGTCGTTAGACCAAGTATAAACCGGACAAGTATAAACTCTGGTAATTTGACTGGTAGGTAAACTCCTGGGTACACTCACAATGGCTGCCTGGTATTGTGATGCAATAATTTCCTTCAGATGATGTTAACTGATGTATGTTTTTGTAATGTCAGTTGATTTGAATCAACAAATCACAGCACATTTCTTAGCACATTTTACCTCCTGCATTGCTCCTATGGGTACACTCGCAAAGGCCACCAGTCCACCCATTATGCCATCATTGACTTGAATATGGACGCCGGTTCTATTCATTCTATTTCTATGACCGCACATGCAGTCAGGAGCGAAGGAATGTATAAAATGCTGTTTTTTAAAATGCTGTTATTATGGTGAACACGGTCATTTGGCAGGACAATTACCGTCATCCAAAATGTCATGACCGTCACAGCCCTAGTGGTGATGTAAAATGAATTTCCTTCCTGGAGGAATACTCTCAAAATCCTTTAACCCCCCTTTTCATTTTATGCTTCTTTTGTGCAAGTCTTTCAGGATCGTTTACTGGGTTTTCCCACAGGTCACCTTGACTGCTATCACTCTGATACTCTGTTACTGTGTTGAATTCCCTCCCTAGAAACTTCACCCCACTGTATGTGAAACTTTATATAGCTTCTGTTTTTATTGCATCCGGCTTTCTTTTCTGACCATCAACCAGGCTTGCCACAGATGCTAAGGAATTGAACTGCAATGATGTAGACTAAAGTACCTCAATCAAACTGTCACTGTAGAAACATTGCAGAAATCAACAGTCAACACAGGACAAAAAAAACAGAGCAGCTTACCAATGGATATGAGCCACACCACTGCTATCTTGGCCATGGCTTTGGACCTAGACTTATACTGGCTGTGCTGAATGGGCTTCTTGATGGCTATGTAGCGGTCCAGTGAGATGGCACATAGGTGCATGATGGACGCTGTAGAGAACAGGACGTCCAGGAAGAGCCAGATTGGGCAGAGGAATTCCGGAAGAGGCCACCCGGAATCTGAGAAACAGAAAAAAGATGGAAAGCATTGGATTGTTAACTGCTCTCATAGGCCAATACAGAACCATTTGAGATTAAAACAATACAGTTCTCAAACTTGATTACTGTGGTGCTAAATCTTTTAAATGTGTTCACCTTACTTCAGATAAGCCTTATTTAATTTAGATTTCAGTGACTGTAAGTCATGATTTTGTTTTAACAATCTGAATTGAATTGCTATCTATTTGGATTATTCCCATTTGAAAACAGGACTACACTGAACAAAAATATAAACGCAACATGTAAAGTGTTCATCCCATGTTTCATGAGCTAAAATAAAACATCCCAAAAATGTTCCATGCGCACAAAAAGCTTATTTCTCTCAAATTTTGTTTACAAATTAGTTTACGTCCCTGTTAGTGAGCATTTATCTTTTGCCAAGATAATCCATCCACCTGACAGGTGTGGCATATCAAGAAGCTGATTAAACAGCATGATCATTACACAGGTGCACCTTGTGCTGGGGACAATAAAAGGCCACTCTAAAATGTGCAGTTTTGTCACACAACACAATGCCACAGATGTCTCAAGTTTTGAGGGAGTGAGCAATTGGCATGATTACTACAGGAATGTCCACCAGAGCTGTTGCCAGATGATTTAATGTTCATTTCTCTACCATAAGCTGCCTTCAATGTCGTTTTAGGGGGAGGAGGGGGTGCTGAGGAGTATTTCTGTTTGTAATAAAGCCCTTTTTCTTTGTGGGGGTAAAACACATTTTAATTGGCTGGCTGCCAAGTGGGTGGGCCTTGGAGGGCATGGCTGCACCCCTGCCCAGTCATGTGAAATCCATAGATTAGGGCCTAATTTATTTATTTCAATTGACTGATTTCCGTATATGAACTGTAACTCAGTAAAATCTTTGAAATGTTTGCATTTATTTTTGTTCAGTATAATTTCTGATGTGCTCTAATGGCCTCAGCACACCTATTGTATTATAAATAGAGCTTGTGTTGTTGACCCCACCAGCAATGGGGAGATGTGCTTCAATAGTGGATTAAAACCAGCTCTGATGTAGTGAATTCTGTTTGTTTATTTTAGTAAAGAATGAATTTACTGCAGCTCTTATGACTGTGTATGGAGCTGAAAGCTCTATGCTCTTGATGTAGATGTGTTCAAGCACCCTTCTCTCCAGAACTGTTTATTTTGGGTCTCCAATGTGAAATTGGTGAGTAATTGGGCTGGGTTATGTCCCATTGCACATCAGCATTGTAAAAGATCCTGTTGTTGGAAAGGTTTTTGAATGATTTCTTTAGTGTTAACCCTTTAGCTGATTGCTTGTGCTTCATAACTCGAGCATTAGTGAATATATCACATTAATTTTTGTATAAAAGTTTTACTACTAATATTGTATATTCATATACAATTATAAAAGTAATGCACTTTTGAATAAATGGTTCTTGAACACTATTTTAGTGTCCTCCCTTCATGTTTTACATGCGCCCTAGGACTGTAATGGACACCCCTTACCCTCTTTATTGGGTTCCACTGCACACCATTTCAGGTGCTTTGTTCAGCTGGATGCACCATTTGCCTTTTCTCCTTATTTTTTAATTTAGAAATATTTTCTGTGTGATATTTAAATAAACTTCGATAGGTACTTTCTAAGAGTATATTTTTGTGAGCCCTTTAATTGCTGTCATCTGTGTCTACTTAACATGGACAAAGATACTTTTTTTCTCTCTATGGGAATAAGCTCATACTCTCAACATATTCTGTGCATGTGGTGATATTAAGTGCTTAGATCAGAGTTTATAAATGTCTGCTGGTAAAGTTTCTGAAGATGTACACTGAACAAAAATATAAACGCAGCATGCAACAAATTCAAAGATTTTATTGAGTTACGGTTCATATAAGGAAATCAGTCAATTGAAATAAATTCATTAGGCCCTAATTTATGGATTTCACATGACTGGAAATACAGATGCATCTGTTGGTCACAGATACCTTAAAAAAAAGGTAGGGGCGTGGATCAGAAAACCAGTCAGTATCTGGTGTGACCACCATTTGCCTCATGCAGCACGACACATTTCCTTCGCATAGAGTTGATCAGGCTGTTGATTGTGGCCTGTGTAATGTTGTCCCACTCCTCTTCAATGGCTGTGCGAAATTGCTGGATTTTTGGCTGGAACTGGAACATGCTGTTGTACACGTCGATCCAGAGCATCCCAAACGTGCTCAATGGGTGATATGTCTGAGTATGCAGTCCATGGAAAAATTGGGATATTTTCAGCTTCCAGGAATTGTGGACAGATCCTTGCGACATGTTCTCATAGAATGCAGCTGGTTTCAATCGTGACAATTTACAAAGGAGTGTGCAATTTTGTGCATTATCATGCTGAATGTGATGGCGGCAGATGAATGGCACGACAATGGGCCTCAGGATCTTGTCTCTGGGATGGTTTCTGACAGTTTGTGCTGAAATTCTTTGGTTGTGCAAACACACAGCTTTATCAGCTGTCCAGGTGGCTGGTCTCAGACGATCCTGCAGGTGAAGAAGCTGGATGTGGAGGGGCTGACGTGGTTTCACGTGGTCTGCGGTTGTGAGGCCGGTTGGACAAACTTCCAAAGTCTCTAAAACAACTGAGTTGGCTTATGGTAGAGAAATTAAGATTACATTCTCTGGCAACAGCTTTGGTGGACATTCCTGCAGCCAGCATGCCAATTGCACGCTCCCCCAAATCTTGAGACATCTGTGGCATTCTTTTGTGACAAAACTTCACATTTTAGTGGTATTTTATTGTGCACCTGTGTAATGATCATGCTGTTTAATCAGCTTATTGATATGCCACAGGTGGATGGATTATTTTGGCAAAGGAGAAATGAGCATTTTGTGCGTATGGAACATTTCTGGGATCTTTTATTTCAGCTCATGAAACATGGAACCAACACTTTACATGTTGCGTTTATATTTTTGTTCAGTATATGTTTTGCCAAGGTGGCCACATTTCTAAGTCAAACGTATGAAGCCATTTGTAGTGGACCGGCTACTCTGTGAGAGAGCGAATACTTTGAAAACAGAGCTACAAACCTCTAGTGTAGGGTGAGGTCACCATTCCAAAGTGGGAGAAAGCCAGTTTGGACTCAAACAAAAACAAAGCTGAAAATGCTGTCTTATTAAAGGGCTGTCTTTGAGTATTATTATTGTAATTACGATAATTATTATTATTGCTTACTTTAGAAAATGTCCCCGTTCCAGCAAATACCAGGGTATAAACACTCTGTCCTGCGCCATTGATGTCTGTCAGGCTCTCTGATTACACAAGACATGCACACAGTTCTTAAGGGGCTCCATACTTTATATGGGAATCCTTTTTTTTTTCAGTGCATCTGTAAACTCATCCTAAATCTTAAACTCTGATCTGGCCATCACAATTGTTTCATGGTCTTTCTGGACACCCCTTCAAATTAGTGGAATTGACTATTTCAGCCACACCCGTTGCTGACAGGTGTATAAAATCGAGCACACAGCCATACAATCTCCGTAGCCAAACATTGGCAGTAGAATGGCCTTATTGAAGAGCTCAGTGACTGTCAACGTGGCTCCGTAGTAGGATGCCACCTTTCCAACAAGTCAGTTTGTCAAATTTCTGCACCGCTAGAGCTGCCCCGTTCAACTGTAAGTGCTGTTATTGTGAAGAGGAAACGTCTAGGAGCAACAACGGGTCAACCGCGAAGTGGTAGGCCACACAAGCTCACAGAACGGGACCGCCGAGTGCTGAAGCGCGGAGCGCATGAAAATAGTCTGTCCTCGGTTGCAACACTCACTACTGAGTTCCAAACTGCCTCTGTAAGCAATGTCAGCACAAGAACTGTTAGTCGGGAGCTTCATGAAATGGGTTTCCATGGCCGAGCAGCCGCACACAAGCCTAAGATCACCATGCGCAATGTCAAGCGTCGGCTGGAGTGGCGTAAAGCTCGCCGCCATTGGACTCTGGAGCAGTGGAAACGTGTTCTCTAGAGTGAACAATCACGCTTCACCATCTGGCAGTCCGACGGACGAACCTGGGTTTGGCGGATGCCAGGAGAACGCTACCTGCCCCAATGCATAGTGCCAACTGTAAATTTTGGTGGAGGAGGAATAATGGTCTGGTGCTGTTTTTCATGGTTCAGACTAGGCCCCTTAGTTCCAGTGAAGGGAAATCTTAAAGCTACAGCATACAATGACATTCTAGACAATGCTTTGCTTCCAGCTTTGTGGCAACAGCTTGGGGAAGGCCCTTTCCTGTTTCAGCATGACAATGCCCCCGTGCACAAAGCGATGTCCATAAAGAAATGGTTTGTCGAGATCGGTGTGGAAGAACTTGACTTGCCTGCACAGAGCCCTGACCTCCACCCCATTGAACACCCTCAGGATGAATTTGAACGCTGACTGCGAGCCAGGCCAAATTGCCCAACATCAGTGCCCTACCTCACTAATGCTCTAGTGGCTGAATGGAAGCAAGCCCCCGCAGCAATGTTCCAACATCTAGTGGAAAGCCTTCCCAGAAGAGTGGAGGCTGTTATAGCAGCAAAGGGGGGACCAACTCCATATTATATATTATTATATGATTTTGGAATGAGATGTTCGACGAGCAGGTGTCCACATACTTTTGGTCATGTAGTCTTTGCTAGATACTTTGTTTGACAATGGATGTCCCACAGATGAAAGTAAATAATTGTAGTATTTTGAAGGCTGTAAGAACTTCCAGATTTTTTTGTTTGCACTGAGGTCCTTCAAGGCAGCATTCGTTCATAAATTGTATTGTTCTTGTTTTAAGCTCTCCTCCGGAGTGCTAATTTGCTAGTCTGTAGGTTGTTCACATTTTAAATCTGGCATGTTTTGATTGAGGGTTCTCCAAACGAATTCTGGTTAAGTCTAGGTTAAAAGACAGCTCTGGTTGAGTGGGAAATGTAGATCTAAGCCTACCTGTTGTTTGTGGGTAGACTGGGTGAGTCTGGGACCGAGGCATGCCTTCTAAAAGCGTGACCTCTCCCTGAAACAGACAGTATTGAGCTCATTAGTGAAGAAGGGTAAGAATGTTCTGTCATTCCCTTGGTTCAGAGGAATGTCGACCATAGTGACACTTATGGGCTGGTGGGCTATTTCGTGAAATCTTAATCGTCACTCTACTTTTCACTCTGGTGGTAGAGAAATTAACATAGTTTCTGGACTGTCAGGTCTTGTGCCCCAGTTGTCCCAAGGCCCAAATATATTTAAGTAAACATTTATCTCTGTCCTCAATATAAACACTTCTCGTGGCACTACCTCGCAAACATGGCACTATGGTAGGCGCCTCCCTGCCGAGTCCTTCAAATAGCTTTTCTTAATGGGTGTCTATGGTCACCCGAGGCTTATTCAGCTGTATATTTAGGTTTACACTGTAGTATAGTCAGTGCACCTTTTAAACAGTGGAACCATTTAATTTTTCAAGGTGTTGACTGTAAGCCTTAAATTCATCTGCTAGGCAGATGTGGAAAAGACCCTCAGGACTTCTTACAGCTGTTATAGACATCAATTGACACTAGCCCTGCCCTCTTTATCAGTAAAAGGTTTCATTTTGGAGGAAGGTTTAACTATGATTGGGTTCACCAACTCATTAATATTGGATGTTTGAGGCAATAGCTAGGCTAATTGTGATTAGTCTGGCACTTCACCCACAGCCAGGGCTTGGGACAGAGAGGAGATATTTATCCAGGCAGACACAGAAGAAAGTGGAGAAATGTTCAAAAACCAAGAATTGCTGGCACTTTCTCTATGCTATGTAGTTGTCTCTATGTAGTTGTGGTTTATTTGGAATTTAGAGAGTCTTGGGTTTAATGGCAGTGATATATTAGTGGTGACGATACTGCGGTTATATAACAAGTAGCTATAACATGTTGTCTCTGTCTTCTGGTAAATGTCTGGTAGGATTTGGATGTGAGCACTGATCCCCTCTCTCGCCGTTTGCCTACACCCACTGTTCTTAGCGCCGCCGGCCTGGATGTACACAGGCCTTAACTGGCCCACCATGTCGAGAGGCTCTAAAGGCTTGGCGTGAAGCACTAAACTCTGTTTATGTCCCCCTGACCCCCACCCCCGCTGTGTGCTCTTGTCTCCAGCCAGGAGAGAAATGACAGCTGCCCCTGAACGGTCGGACCTTGCATCCATTCTGTACATTCACACATTCAGACGAGCTCTGTGTGCACTTACACGTGCATACACATACTCACACACAGCCCCTCTCCATCCTCTGAACAAAGGCTACTTCTCTTCAAAAGCCACTAGCTGTTTACACTGCGGTCTTGGCCCTTTCTGTCAACTATGGTCACTTAAGACAATCCATCTACTCATGTTCTCCAGATTTAGAACGAAGACGCTCTTAAAGACACAGGGATTGATTGACATGATAAGCATGAGGACATGGCCTTGACTTTGTTTATCCCCTCCTTTCCATGCGTCTTGCCCCGATGGACTGCATTAAGATGCGATGGAGCAGCTTCCCCCCCTTAGCAGTTTGCCTCATGCCTCGCTGTTTGCACGGCACATATGGTTCTTATGCAAAGAAAGTGCTTGTTTTCTGAAAGCATGACTTGAGATCAGATTCCTGCCACGCATGGACAAGGTGGGGTGGTTGGTGTGTGTGTGTCGCAGGGCCATTTTCTCCAATAGATTTAATGAGGAGTAATGGCCCTGCTTAAGTTCTGTGTCAGAAGAGCACAGAGGCAGGTGTTTAATTCTGCATTTTGAAGCACAGCTGTAGTTGTACAGCTAGCTACATCACTTAGTGGAATCGAATCCGAATGTTTTCAGTTTGCGCTTGTATCTTTAATTTTTCCCCTCGCGGCCGAAGTGAATGAGTGTGTGAGCCGAGGGAGAGGTTGGTTTGCGATTTGGAAAGTTATCTGTGAAAGTCGTGCAGAAATTGGGTCATCATGATCATTGGTATCTGATAGGGCTGTGCTTCGGCCGTGATTACACAGCCAAAGGAAGTAGTTTGTTTATTGTCCACTATCTTGTGTTTTTGTCATCTGCTATAATTTGTTTATAGCTGGCGGAGATTCAGCAGCATCTCTATTGGCGTCCTATTTTAAACTCTGCAGCTCTTGAATTATCGTAAATATGCATGCCTATTTTGTGCTCTGTTCTGTTAACAAATGATGAACGCAATTCTGTAATGGCTTTCTGCTTTGCAATGCACATTTACTGAACCGTTGCGCTCAGGTGTTTCCCGGGGCTCTCAACTGACAGCAGCTTTATAATGGCAGCTCCATGGGGACTGGGGTGACCAAGTGCAATTTAGACCTAATTTATCGGAGCCAAGCTAAGCACAAGTACTAGGCCAGCCTTTTCGCTTGAATCAGCGATATGTTGCCGTATTGGGGCTGAAAAGGAATAATTCTAAATTTAGTTGATGTTGAGGCAATTATCGGGTCACAGTTCTATGAACTGTTCACACTTGTAGGACCAGTAGATTTTAGTATAAGCAGTGTCTTGAGTTTTAAGTGAATGTGCCAGTGATGGGGTCCTTTCTCATGGCACGGCAAGCGGGCAGTCATGTTGGGGTGACTTACTGTAGAGCACAGTGATGAGGGCGATGGGCATCACCAGGAGTCCCACCAGCAGGTCGGCCACTGCCAGGGACATCAGGAAGTAGTTGGTGGCGTTCTGCAGCTTCCTCTCCAGCGACACGGCCAAGATGACCAGGATGTTGCCCCCGATGGTGGCGATGATGACCATGATGATGAGCAGAGCAGCCCAGCGCAGCTGAGCCCCGGCCACCTCCCCGGCCCCCGAGCCGTTGGTCGCCAGCGGGGCCGCTTCTGGCTGGGACATGCTGCTGTGGAAGGGATGGCTGGCCTGGGCACGGGTCGGGGTTCTGCTCTGGCTGGCTCAGGGGGCTTGGCCAGCATGGTCCCACGGGCAGGGGCACAGGGGAGGGCAGCGGAGGGCAGCTCAGAGCCAGCACACAGGGCGGTTGCTCATCCTCGGACGCAGCGTACAAACCAAAAGGGCCACGTCACAATCGAATAAGCCCTGCCGCTGCAAAACTGAACAGGTCGCCTCAAGCTTGTTCCAGGCAGTAATCCAAGCACAGTTGTACTACCACAGTAAAGGGGATGTTAGGTCAAGAGTTGGTTGTCTGACTCGTAGTCCGGGCGCCAGTGTCTTCTTGTTTGTGTACTCCCTAGAACAGGCCAGTTTCTACTAAAAGTTTTAGAAGGAAACAAAAGCGACAATGTTAAACCCCTTACTCTGAAGGGGACATTAGCTTCAGTTTGAAGACCTAATGATGAGTGACATTTATAATAACAAATGTTATGGATTTTTCCTGTATATTCATTAGTAGTATAAAAAATCTACTGCTAATATGTTCGTTCTAGGTCTATTTCTGTAGTTTTCGAACAACTAACTTACAAAACACATTTTAACCCGTAAGGTTAAAAACCATTGCATGTCATTTAAAAAAACATAGCTAGAATTATTTATTTAACTGATAGTAAATTATGCATGGTTTAGTTTTGAACATACAATTTAATTAAGCTTATTTATTTTCATTTTCAAATGCGATTTTAGTTTAGCTTTGTAGTTTTTATAGTAACTTAAAACTTTGCTTATTTATTGCATATCCTAGTGGCTTGTTTTCCTTTCATATTTCTAGACCAAAGTCATTATTTAATTGACAATAGTATTACTCTAAATAGATACATTTCATTCTCTAAATATACATGTTTTTTTCCATCAATTTATCATAGCCTTTTAATGTTAATTTGGACATCCTCCAAGAGTCTTTGAAGTGGTCCTCTGTAGCTCAATTGGTAGAGTATGGCGCTTGTAACGCCAGGGTAGTGGGTTCAATCCCCGGGACCACCCATACGTAAAAATGTATGCGCACATGACTGTAAGTCGCTTTGGATAAAAGCGTCTGCTAAATGGCATATTAAATATTAAATTAAAGTGCAGAACAATTATTTGACTCTCCTTAGCCTCTAGCCCGCTAGGTGAAGCCGCTCCCTAGAAACAAACTGCTTATCTCTATTTAAGTTGTCACTGTTTTATCATTTGTCTACAGCAGTCAGTGCGGCTCTGTCTGAGGGCCTTCAAAGGCTTTTTATAAATGCACTTCATAACAGAAAAGACTTCAGGGGTCTTAGCAAAAAGAAACAACTGGTTTTATTAGAAGTGAACTGGTCTGGTGGAATGGTATAGTCTGACGCTAGAACAAGCGAACCTCAAAAGTTCTTACAAATTGTAGACTATTTGACCAATTTAACAATTTTCTGTAGATTTGTGATTATTTGATTTATTTTAGAATGATGAACAAACAGTAAGTGACACTTTCTTACCTTCAGCTAAGGCAGAAGCCTGTGTGTTCTCCTTTAGTTTGTCTGGTTCATTTGCATCGCATTCAGAGCTGCTATATCCTTACTTTCCAATCAAGCAATACCTTGCGCGTTGGATGAACAGTGCTGGTCATCACCAAACAACTCAATCCTCAGACTCCTTCAGAGTGGCAGCTTTTTTTTTCTTCTTGTCCCCGCTCACGTTTTTATACGTAGAACCCCTCCAAAATCATAAAATGTCCTAGGCAGCCATTCCCTTGTGAAAATAATTGCCTAATATTAACTAACTTTGGTGCATTCCATGCTGAGGAATTTCCTTTGTCCCCACATGTTGGATGAGCCCCCGGTTTGGATTCGCATCACCTACCGTGATCACAGGTTGAAAACGTTCAGATGTCTTCGATGTCTCTCTCTCTCTGTCTCTCTCCCTCTTCTGTCTGTATGTCTCTCTCTCTCTCAGGGTCTCGCTCTCTCACGGTCTCTCTTTCTCTGTCTGTCTCTCTGTCTCGGTCTCACTGTCTCGGTCTCTCTGTCTGTCTCGCTCGCTCTCTCTCTGTCTGTCTTTAGTCGACTTGCTCTTTCTCACTCTTTCTTCCTCCCACCTCCACGTTTACCCATGAGTCATGCTAAGGAGAAAATTGATGAATGTCTCAGAGTTGGCCGAATGCCAGTGGTTCTGGGAGGTAATTTCCTTCAACACAGCCGTCCTACTGTTTATATTTGTCACTTTCTGTTCTCTCCTCCAGTAGGGGCTGGGGATGGACATTGGAGGAGGAGGGAGTTGTTAGTGATGTCCTATTGAAACTGCATTTTCACTTCTTGAAAATATATTTGTCTGCCTAGTCTCAAACGTTTATTGACATTTTTTGGTCCAAGATATAATTATTTAAAAGATGGCCTGAAAACGGCTATATTAGAAATTGCAGAGCCAACCATTTTTGTTAGAATTGATATGCATACACCTTTTTATTTTATTTCACCTTTATTTAACCAGGTAAGCCAGTTGAGAACAGGTTCTCATTTACAACTGCGACCTGGCCAAGATAAAGCAAAGCAGTGCGATTAAAAACAACAACAACAGAGTTACATATGGGATAAATAAAACGTACAGTCAATAACACAATAGAAAATCTATATACAGTGTGTGCAAATGTAGTAAGTTATGGAGGCAAGGCAATAAATAGGCCATAGTGCAAAATAATTACAATTTAGTATTAACACTGGAATGATAGATGTGCAGAAGATGATGTGCAAATAGAGATACTGGGGTGCAAATGAGCAAAAGAAATAACAATATGGGGATGAGGTAGTTGGGTGGGCTAATTACATATGGGCTGTGTACAGGTGCAGTGATCTGTAAGCTGCTCTGACAACTGATGCTTAAAGTTAGTGAGGGAGACGAGAGTCTCCAGCTTCAGAGATTTTTGCAGTTTGTTCCAGTCATTGGCAGCAGAGAAATGGAAGGAATGGCAGCCAAAGGAGGTGTTGACTTTGGGGATGATCAGTGAGATATACCTGCTGGAGCGCATACTACGGGTGGGTGTTGCTATGGTGACCAATGATCTAAGATAAGGCAGGGATTTGCCTAGATGTAACTTTGGATTGGAGATGGTTAATGTGAGTCTGGAAGGAGAGTTTACGGTCTAACCAGACACCTAGGTATTTGTAGTTGTCCACATATTCTAAGTCAGACCCGCCGAGAGTAGTGATTCTAGTCGGGCGGGTGCGAGCAGCGTTCGATTGAAGAGCATGCATTCAGTTTTACTAGAGTTTAAGAGCAGTTGGAGGCTACGGAAGGAGTGCTGTATGGCATTGAAGCTCGTTTGGAGGTTTGTTAACACAGTGTTCAATGAAGGGCCAGATGTATACAAAATGGTGTCGTCTGCATAGAGGTGGATCCGAGCGTCACCAGCAGCAAGAGCGACATCATTGATATACACAGAGAATAGAGTCGGCCCGAGAATTGAACCCTGTGGCACCCCCATAGAGACTGCCAGAGGTCCAGACAACAGGCCCTCCGATTTGACACATTGAACTCTATCTGAGAAGTAGTTGGTGAACCAGGCGAGGCAGTCATTTGAGAAACCAAGGCTATTTAGTCTGCCAATAAGAATGCGGTGATTGACGGAGTTGAAAGCCTTGGCCAGGTCGATGAAGACGGCTGCACAGTACTGTCTTTTATCGATTGCGGTTATAATATCGTTTAGGACCTTGAGCGTGGCTGAGGTGCACCCATGACCAGCTCGGAAACCAGATTGCATAGCGGAGAAGGTGCAGTGGGATTCAAAATGGTCGGTGATCTGTTTGTTAACTTGGCTTTCAAATACTTTCGAAAGGCAGGGCAGGATGGATATAGTTCTGTAACAGTTTGGATCTGGAGGGGGATGACCGCGGCAGCTTTCCAATCTCTGGGGATCTCAGACGATACGAAAGAGAGGTTGAACAGGCTGGTAATAAGGGTTGCGACAATTTCGGCGGCTAATTTTAGCTGGGGGGGGGGGGGGGGGGGGGGGTAGCCATGTGGAAAGCATGGCCAGCCATAGCAAAATACTTGTGAGATTTATCGGTACTGACAGTGTTTCCTAGCCTCGGTGCAGTGGGCAGCTGGGAGGAGGTGCTCTTATTCTCCATGGACTTTACAGTGTCCCAAAACTTTTTGGAGTTAGTGCTACAGAATGCACATTTCTGTTTGAAAAAGCTAGCCTTTGCTTTCCTAACTGATTGTGTATATTGGTTACTGACTTCCCTGAAAAGTTGCATATCGCGGGGGCTGTTCGATGCTAATACAGTATGCCACAGGATGTTTTTGTGCTGGTCAAGGGCAGTCAAGTCTGGGGTGAACCAGGGGCTATATCTGTTCTTAGTTCTGCATTTTCTGAATGGGGAAAGCACTTTTAAAGAACAACCAGGCATCCTCTACTGATGGAATGAGGTCAATATCCATCCAGGATACCCGGGCCAGGTCAATTAGAAAGGCCTGCTCGCTGAAGTGTTTTAGGGAGCGTTTGACAGTGATGAGGGGTGGTCGTTTGACCGCGGACCCGTTACGGACGCAGGCAATAAGGCAGTGATCGCTGAGATCCTGGTTGAAGACGGCGGAGGTGTATTCAGAGGGTAAATTAGTCAGGATGAAATCTATGAGGGTGCCCATGTTAACGGATTTAGGGTTGTACCTGGTAGGTTCCTTGATAATTTGTGTGAAATTGAGGGCATCTAGTTTAGATTGTAGGACGGCCGGGGTGTTAAGCATATCCCAGTTTAGGTCACCAAGCAATACAAACTCTGAGGATAGATGGGGGGCAATCAATTCACATATGGTGTCCAGGGCACAGCTGGGGGCTGAGGGGGGTCTGTAGCATGCGGCAACAGTGAGAGACTTATTTCTGGATTTTTAGAAATAGAAGCTCAATAGTGGATAGTATGATATCAACTGTAGATTGCAATTCCGCCCCCTTTGGCAGTTCTGTCTAGGCGGAAAATGTTGTAGATGGG